TTACAGGCTCAAGTGTCCTAGCTTGAGGCCTCTTCTTTCCTTTCTTCCCGTTGTTTTTGCTTTTTCCTGGACAAGTGATGTAGATCTGCAAGGTCGAACATCATCTCGATCTCTGTAATAAGAAAAATGCACAACTGCTTAGTTCAACCAAACAAATGAAATGAGGAAAATGTTAGTTCTTGCTGACGCTCTTCATGTTAGCTAAATCTAGGACATCATCGGCGAGGAGAAGTCAATATTATAGGCCAAAGGCTCAAGCTCTGCCAGACTCTACCTATCAATTTCTAACATTTCAGAATATGCTTAACCTTTGTTAAAGCTATTTGTGTCCGAGACAATCCACCAAGGACTAAAATGATGGTTAGGATCTCGAAGACTATGAAGAAATATTTCGACTTTCACCATTTAAGGGACCTTGATATCCTGGGCAGTATAAAGCTACCTTAAGAAAATAGGTAGACAAAATAATTATAGCCCAAGAGTGTCTTCAATTCGAAGATCATCCTGAGCAGGTTTAGCCTAGGGCTTATGAATAGGTACCTATATGCTACGAAGAAATAGATGAGCTATCTCCAACCATTTGGAATTAATTATCTAGAGCACATATGCTGCTCGACCAAAAATTCAATAAAGAAACGGTGTAGGGGCCACCCGAGCCCATCCTTTAGGGCATCCCTAAAGCTACTAACTCTCATTCTCGAGTGCTATTTACTCTATCCTCGGGTCAAAGTACCCTAATGTCATACCCCCCGCATTATCCCAAACTCTAAGACCATCCTAATGACTCATGCTTCTTATATTTACATTGAAGTTAGGAAGCAGTAAAGGCCAAGTGACTATTTGAATGAACAACATATAGGGTAAGGGAATGACCTTCATCGTTGAGCGTTGAACCCAACCCTGAAGAACTACAGGCACTTGATATTCTCTCTTCGTAAATATAAAAACTTAAACTATCTAAAGGTCGCGAGCTCTTATCTTAAATCTAAACCTGATGTGGTCCAAGGAGTATTTTGAGAGTGTAAAGTAACAAATGAAATGAGATAGGAGGTATTTATATGATTCTGAAGAAGCCAAAAGATCTCCTAATCCTAACCATCAATACTGTGCCACGTGGCAATCGTTGCTCTAGAAATAAGGCCACATGTCACTAACCCATGCATGGTACATTACTGACTTATCACTCCTCAATCAAGTCCAATAGTTCGTCCATCAATACTGATCATGACTATTTCACGGCTGATCATGCCTATTACTTAAAGACTTATCATACCTATCACAAGGTTGATCATGCCTATTTCAAGGCCGACCTTGCCTATCCTATTACGAGTTTGATCACGCCTATTATTTAAATGTTATTTATGCCTATCACGAGGCTAATCATACATATTTTAAGGCTGATCTTGCTTATCTCAAGGCTAATGAACCTATCACGATTGATCGTACGTATTACTCAATGGCTGATCATGCCTATTACAAGGTTGGTTACACATATTACTCAAAGGCTGATCATGCATATTACATAGCTGATCACATCCATTACTTAAAGGCTACTCATGCATATTTCAAGGTGAATCATGCCTATAATAAGAGTATGCACCTCATCCCAGAAACTCACACAACGGGCGAAAGCCTCTAACATGGATATATGGGGCCACTGGTATTGCCATATATTTTCGATCCCAATAGGCTGATGCCAGATGAACACCGAACGTTCATCCCATCAAATAGTAAAGAATGTCCTCAAGGTAAAATAACCGAGGACCATGACCATCCATTTTGGGGAAAAACAATGCTAGTCGTCCTCGGACTGTATCCTTGGGCAAGGTTTTGCCGCCCCCCCCCCCCCCGACCTTGGGTCTCTTATGGTAGCTATCTAGCTTCCTTGGAATTCTTCACCTATTAAGGCTCTTTCCTAGGATAATGTTTATCCAACTTTGTTAAGGTTGAGTCCCACTATATCTCTTTCGTCCTATCATAGTAAAATTCTATCACCAATTTTCATCCTTATCCAAACGTCAATTGCAAAAATATTTATCAAGTTACAACTCCGAAACATCGTAAGACTCTTAATGAGTTGAGTGACCTAAACCTACTAGGAGTAGGCTATTCACCTCTTCAAATACAAGACCTCAACTTATTATAGCCTTGTGCTGCATAAATTCTCTCTCTAATTTACGCGTTGGAGAGCCAATGAGGACACACATCGATGCCTTTGTTTTAGGTACTGAAAGATTCTATTCGTGCTCATTTTCGATCGTCAAGCTCGAAAATCAATAGGTACGATTTTTTGTAACATCAATCACAATTCACATATTAAATCACCCATCCAATAATCAATACATATAAAATTTTAATTTCGTCGCCGTGCCTTCAAAATTTCAAATTAATCAACTTGCAAATTTCAAATTAGTCAACTCGCATTTCCAACTATAAACACTCAAAATTTATGAAACATAACCCGTTTTCATCATCTTCATTTTCTTTAAACACTCACGGAAAAATGAACAAAAAATAGATCCAAAATAAGATTTCTTCTTCTTCTTTTTTTTCATGGACCACACTCGATATTATGATCATAAAGTATTGTACAAAGCTAATCATAGAAGTGGATTCAATCAAAAAACATGTATAGACCTTCAAATTCCAATACACATATCAAAATCAAAGAAAAATTACATATAAGAAAAATAAAGCTTACAACGACAAAACACTTGGCAACAACAAGGAGCCGAAAGGGCAAAAATCTATGATTTAAATTTGAGGCAAACTATTTAGAACTGGGAAACGAGTATACTAAAATGCTTAAAAAAAAAAAATACAATTTGAATACTTTCAATAAGCTCCTTCACCTTGGCAGTGGTGGAAGAGACGAATTCGATCATTTGTTGTATGCATTAGAAATTCAATTGGGGGCAAGATATACATACATTAGCAGGCCTTTGGGCCTAATGTTTTAAAATCCTTGCACGAACAACCGCACCGACTCATCGGTTGCTAGCTTCGCCACTACTAGTGACCCCATTTCTTATAAAAAAAAAAATTCAAATTTATTTTCATCTATACATTTCATGAAATCCACAATTTTTATCAACTCTTCATTCAAACATTTCATCAACTTTTATCAAATCTACTAAAAATCTCATTTTTATCCCAACCAAGTAGGGGCTATGTATATGCCCAAAGCAAACTCATGGCACAAGTGATGTAGCTTTAGTGAGGAAAAAAATCCTACCCAACGCAGCTTAAATGACAAAAATCATAAATGAGCCAAAAATATGAAAATATAACGTTTTTCGACAAATTAGCAACGACCACAAGAGAAAAATGCTTTATAATTAGCTGAAAAAACTTTACAATACAATATTTTTCTCACTATCATAACTTCTTACTAAGCAAAAAATAAAAAAATAAAAAAATAAAAAAAAAATAATAATAATAATAATGAAAATCACTCAACGTATATCACAAACCCATGCAAAATGTTTCTCTATTTCAAAGCATGCAATTATTTGTCCAAATTCCCATCACCTTCGTTCTAAGCACAATTCTACTTAAATAGCTTAGGTAAAATTAAACGAAGGTACGATCGGACAATGCCACAAATATATAAAAAAGATATCTGAATCATGACACTTCTCAATCCTCGTCATCGCACCCTTTTCTAATATCACACAATCAATTATACTAGATAGAATTGAATTTATTGCAATTTGGCTTTTACGTATTATGATCTTTAACGTTCTTGTCATTGACCAGAGAACTCATCTTGCTCACTTCACAAACTTTGACAACAAACGAAAGCCCTCTTTTGCATAATTCAACCACTACAACTCTACATCCATGCAAGTCAATCAAAAATTCTCTTCCAAACAAGCTCTAAGTAAAGAACATATGTTTTTTTCCTTCTAGATGAAAATTGAGATTTTAATTATTTTTTCAATTAGTATTTTTAAACTAATATTAAGTCTAGTTCTTGTTGCATTATATAAATAATTCTATTTCAGTTTCAATATTTCCCAAAAACATATATTTTAATTAGTTATATTTATAGATTATTCTCTTCTATGAACCTTTGAACCTTTCCCATATAAAAGAAAAAATTATCTACAGTACATACAATAAAATTATAAATCCATACTCGAATAATTTTTTTAAGTTGCAAAACTATCACAACTTAAAATGAATAAGAATGTGATTTTTATCTACAAAATAACTTGCATAATAATAATAATAATATTTAATTGATTCTTTCTAAATTTTATTTCTTGAACAAATATTATTAACAATTAAGAATTTTTATTTATTTTTACAATGTCGGAAGAGTCTAATAAAATATTTTTAAAATTTTCAATATTTTGTTAATTTACTAAAATTAATTTTTATGATTTGATGTTAGGGTTTAAGAAAAGAAAATAATAAATTATATAAATCTTATAAAAAACACATCCTTTAAAGAAACAAAAATTTAGTGAAAAATTAATGATGAGAACTATTAATATGCAAAAAGTTATATAATTCAATAAATAGAGTGTGATCTGTTTAGCTATCTACAATGACAAATTTGTACATTTCATTAAAAGGTCTATTTATTTATTTGTAACCATTACTCAATGTTTGGTAGGGATTAAAATTCATATTTGTCATAATCAATAATTAATTTTAATCATATATTTCATAAGATCCACAATTTTTCAAGCACACATTTCATCAATTTTTATTAGAATTTACTAAAAAAATAATGATTTTAAACCTTACCAAACAACCGCAATATATAATGTAAATTGTAAATTTATGAAATACAATATTTAGAGCATGTTTGGAAGTAATTTTGAGAATTGATTTTTTGATCGTTTGGAGAAAAGTGGGATCCACCTGTGAGAGAAGAAGTCAAATATGACTGCTAAAATAGTGAAATAACGGTCAAAAAATTAATTTTTTTGGAGAAAAAATAGCTCTCAAACAGGCCCTTAAGCTTACCCAAACATGGTGTTAGAAATTCCATTGTTCGAGTCCTGCAACAAGATAAGCGGTGCTTGTATGTTCGACAGAGAAAATCTGAGAGAGAGAACATTGAAGCAATCGAGTTTACATCCTCTTCAGGTAACAAGCTTTCACGTCGAATAAAAATCCTCCAACTACATTTTTACAACAAGAATGATATCTGTGGTTGATTTTTATTTTTTATTTTTTTCATTTTCATTTAGTCATTGTGCCTAAATATTCATTTATAATATCTCCTATAATTATACTTTTAATCGCTTAATCAACTCCTTGTGCTATCGACACCCCTTTTTTTCTTTTTTTTTTTCTTTTTTGTGTGTGTTATGGTTTGTTATTTGCTTCTTCCGGAGCGTTGCAGGGTAAATTGGGGGCAATAGTGATTTTTTTTAGTTGAGTAGGCACAATTTTCAAGTTATGATTTTTTCTTCTTATATTTGTAATTTAAAACGTGGGTTTGAATCTCCATTTGAAATTACCCATTGGTTAGAAGCTGATGAATTTTAACTCAATTGAATAGATTACTCAATGTAACTAGTAACTACGAGAAATGTGGAATCCTTAGATACAATGTATATGTGATAAATTGTGTTTGCAGATTTATCTATTGGTACCAATATGAGTTTTACTGGCCCTTCCATTGGTTCTGGTTAGTTTGTGATTTTTCTATATGTTCTTCTGGTTAATTTCCTGTATTCTGATGCAAATGAAATTGAGTTGAGCTGTTTCTATATTTTGTATTGGTTGAGTTGCATCGTACCATGATGCAATGCTTCTTGTTGTGAATAAGCAAACTTGTTGCAAAAACAGTTCCTTTTTCCATTTAGAGCATTGAACTGTAATTGTGTCTGTTTGGTCTGCTGTGATCCTAGCTTTCAATTGCTACCCTAAACCCTAAACAGCAATTTTAATAAAGCTGATAAAATAGTCCTAGTTATTTATATAGCAAATTAGCAATTTAAGCGAAATTTTTTTACTTCCCAGCATCTTCTAGTGACATATGATTGCTTAACGTGGCTTGGTCTTTGTTTGTAAAATTTTTGGTTTTCTCAATGGATCAAACTGTATGTAAACCAAATGCAGGAACCGTTAGAAGGGCATTTCAGTTTGGACGGACATATGTGGTGAGGCCTAAAGGTAAACACCAGGCTACTATAGTCTGGCTACATGGCCTTGGAGATAATGGCAATAGGTAATTCCATTTCTAGTTCTTTCATCTGGGAAATGAATTTACTTTTTAATATAGCCTAACAAGTTGCTGAGTTCAACATTCGGGGGGCTTCCATGCCTATTGAGGCAAAGATTTTCCCCTTTAACTTGCAGTATGTTGTTACATTTATTGAACCTTCTTTATATAATCTATTCTTACTGTCCACTACTTGATTAAACGAGATAAAAACAAAGTTTGTCCAATTTATGATAAAGTCTTTGTGATGTTTTGATCCAGGTAGTAATACATGACAATCTAGTAGTTAATCATATATTTTTGGATTAAAACGTTTTTCAGAGTTATAGAATGCAATTATAGAGAGAGAGAAAATTCCACCTTTATTAATGCAAGTCTATTAGTTTCGTCTATTTGCTTAGATGAGTCCACTAAACACCTATTCAATATGTATGACAGCAAAATAAACGTTAACACGTGAGATAATACTTTTCTATCACCCTTTTTTGTGTATTTATATTCACCGATTGGGAAAAAGATGTGGTGCATGCCTCGTATCAAGCTTTCAGGTTGATCAGAAAGACATAATTCTTAGCCCCTAGTAAATTTTGGTAAAAGTTTGTGAAATGTGTGGTTGAAAAGTTGATAAAGGTTTTGGGTCCCAAGAAATGTGTAATTGAAAATGAACTTGAGAAATAATGCGTTTTAATAAACTGGGGCCAAACATGGGCTTAGTAATGGAGCGAACATTAGGCTAAAATTTTAGTAGTTCTTACATTCTATCTCTTTCTTTGATGTTCCTTTCTTGTTTTTCCCTCTATTTTTATTTATTTTATTTTATTTTATTTTATTTTATTTTTTTGATAGTTTTTATACATATCTTTTAGCCCATTGGTAGGGAGAAAAATCATACCGTTACCGTTGAGTCTTCAAGTTCAAGTATGTAATGTAGGCTTCTCTTTTGAAACCTAAAATTGAAAACTGATCAGAAGAAAATTTTTTACCTTCATTTCTAGCTAGCCTAAATGCACATTTTACAGTAGTATTAACACTTAATAAGGAAAATGATAAAAGTACTCATGTTACTAACCTATCCTATTACTTTGCCCCTTTTGACATCCCAAAAAACTTCTCTGCTTGAAAATCAGAATAGTTTTTGCTTTCCTGTTCTCCCCCACCATGAAAAGAGCTAAAACTTATAGCTAAAACATTCATTATTGTATTAAATGGTAAGTTTTTATCCACTCCCTATCTAATGTATGGTTATACGTCAATGTAATTTGCCATTTCTATAGGTATGTGGCCAGTAGCATAATAAGTCATAATGTAATATACATATTTGGCTTTCCGGTAATTTTGAACCCATTAAGATTTTTCTTTAAGGCTCATATATTCATATGTAGTATTATTTCTCTGGCAAATGTAACATGCATATTTGGCTTTCTGGTAATTTTGAACCCAGGAAGATTTTTCTTTAAGGCTCTATATATTCATATGTAGTATTGTTTCTCTGGCAAAGTGATTACTACGCAAACTAACTTAGCTTGGCCAGCAAGAATTCTGTCTCACCCGATTGATGCCACCAGATGGCAGCAGCTCCCTAAATTTTATCTTCAACAATTCGATCTATTTTGGTTGGGAAATTTTCTGGTTTTTTTAATTTTTTTTTTTTTTTTTTATTTTGGCAACTTTCCAGTTTGTTAGAAATAATAATTTGGACTAGTATTTCTAATTAATATAGACAATCGATTTGGTATATCTGTGACATTGAAATTTTCTCTTCATTTTTTCTCCCAATTGGCCAGTTACCCCTCCATCTCTTTCTCTTTCCCATGCTACATCACCTTTTCATGAGAATTCACCTGGTACGAAAAATATTCATCTGCGTCTGGTCATCCGCCGGAACAATACTAACGTTTTCCCTCTATCAACTTGTGACAAATCTATCTTCTTCACATCCAGTTCATCTTATGTCCCCTCTATTAACTCCTCCAACATAGTGACGATGCAGATAGAAGGCCCGTATTTATGGCATTTGAAGAAAATTCATGAATCTTTCTTGGAAGAATTATCCTGTCTCGAGCTAGATGTGTGTTTATAGCCACTTATAACATTTCCATTTCTTTCACAATTTGAAGATATTGACACTGATTTAAATGAATGGCTATTTTCCCAGTTCAAAGAATTATACTGTCTGACATTCTTGCCTCTTTTTGCTATTTTTCTACCTATGCAAGCTTACTCACATAATTGAATGTCCAGTAGGGCTGAAAAGTAATTACAATTCTTATTCATCCCTCAGCCACCATGATAATAAATTATTGCTTGCACTTGCAGCTCTGCAATGTCCTTAAACATGAAGCCTTCAAACTCCATTGTCCATTCTTCGAAGTGAGTGTCTTGTTTATAATTTTTTTGGTTGGAAGCCTTCTTGAGTTACCTCCACTTTTTCCAAAGTGTCGATTGTGCCTTTCCCGTTGCAAGTACTTTGTCTCTTTGGATTCTCCCACCAAAAGGAAGCATATTATTTCGGTTGGACAAAACTAAATTTACTTATCTTTTTTGGATTCTCCTTGAATTCGAAAACTATCTCCACTGTTATGCCTGAAAAATTCTTCCAAGCATACAAGCATTTAGAAAATTGAAAGCTAAATTCATTTTTTATTGAGATGACCTCTTGGAGTAATAACTTTTAATGCATTCTAGTGAAAAGAGGAAAGTCTGGAGCACTCTGCTGATAACCAAATCAATCATATTATTAGGCACGTGCAATTAAGTAAAGCATCTGAAATAAAAGTTCATCATACATCATGTTTGGCTAACTCAAAAGTTTTAAGTAACTTAAGTAATTGATAGGTACCTGATGTGTAATACATTTTTCGTGTATATATTGAATGAAAAAACAAATAGAAATTGAAAGGAATTACACTAGATTGTAAGCATTCAAGATGCCCACTCTCCTCCATTGATTCCCTGACTTTCTGCTTAACTAATTTGGATAGGAAGCCTTTACAACTTTTGAATCTCCATAATACCCCTACTTAAATGACGAAAGAACTAACTATTAATTTGGGGTTCTATCAATACCCTGTCCTTGAAATTTACCTTGCCCTCAAGGTGAATATCCCAGCCAATTCCAAATTTTTAAATATTATACAATCTAACAATTTCGTGTGCAAACACCCCAGTCATAGGTGATGCAAAAATCGAGTCTCTTGGTTCGGGGACGTTGACTAACCTATTTAGCGAATCTACTACCATTAATATGGTGTCGATAAACCATAACCTGTCGCACCCTTTGTGGGTTATCCAAAAAATGAACTCAACCAATTGAAATATAATGGTAACCACGCAACATAGACCTCATCTTGTCATGCAATCTGCACTTTATTGTCTGGCGCCGTTAATCTAACCCTTGAATTGATTAAAAATCTTGTAGCACCAACCTCCACACCATTGTCAGTTGAAAAAACCCCTACACCTTTGCAGTCACCAACCCATCAAAATCCAATATCATCAATTTTCCAGACTATTTCTCCTTTTACCAGCTCTCGTTACTCTATTTCTCTTTTCGCTTCACTGCCCAATGGTGTCATACCCATCATATTGGAGATTTGGATTACTTTTCTTCTTTTGAAATTTAGCACCAGAAAACTGTTTGAAATTAGTGGAACTTGGTTTTGGAATTGACGGAGCTGAATTGAAGATAGTACCTGATTGCAGTAGATTGGTGTAATTGGGGCTTGAAATTGGTGAGATCTGATGAGTTTTGGGTGTGCAAATAGTTGTTGAGCCATTTACCTTTACCTTATTCAGGCTCATTCTGACTTCGACTTGCTTAAGTGAAATTTTGTAGTCCTCCACTTGTTGGGGCATCTCCATATCATAGCCCAAACCACTAGCTTCAACAATTTCTCATGTTTCATCTTTTCCTGATTCAGCCTATTGATAGAGATCCCTTCCCCTACGTGCTCCAACGTCTCCTCCTCCTCTCACTAGGGGCAAATCCAGGAGTTTAAGTAAGCACGGGCGGTCGTTGACCGTCCACCGATAATGGCCACAATAAAAATCAGACAGATCTATTATTATATTACCGTTATATTTGATTATAGCATTCATTCCTAAATTTTACAGAGGAGCACGGTTTGAATCTTTCCCATTGCACCGGTTTCACTATTTGGTCAAATCTTTTCAAAATTTGAACATATATATTTATGTTACACTTAATTGTTAACGCCCACCAAATGCCATAGTGGTGAAACTTTTGTAAATTCCAAAGGAGACCATAGTTCGAATCTTTTCACCATTGCATTGGTTTTAATAATAGTATCCCAAAATGATAAAAATATTAAACTAAAATAATTAAATTAAGGATTGTTCTTGTAAAGAGTCGAACACTTGACCTCTGGCTTACGAAACGAATCCTTTACCCACTGAGCTACGAGAGTAAATTTGAAATCCATGAAATTACCAGATATATATTCGAAACTATATACATTGATACCAAAAAAAAATTTAATACCAATGGATCCAGCACGAGCGGCTGCAGCTTGCCAGGTGCTGGATCCGCCGCTGACTCTCATGATGGCGATGGAGTACATGCAGTTGACACTTTTGTTCTTTCACCGTATTCACCAAATCCCAACGCTTCCTTGCTGGAAATTCTTCACCAATGGAGACTTCATTCATGCAGAATCAAGGTAACATCAACATCTTCAATTCTTCTCATGTTTGAATCGGATGGCAACCAAAAATCCATTGGAACCCTGCCCATGCCTCTCCATCAAAGCAAGCAACGTCGGCTTTAACCTCTTCCCTCTCGGACAACCGATTCATGGAGAAAATCCTCAAGGCAGAACCCCCAACAATCCACAATCGTTCTCTTTGCCGAATTCTTGCATTTCCCATAAGAATTTCCCATGATTCTCCATGAAGGTCTCCATCTTCTTCTCCGATTCTTTGTTCCAATTTGTTTCCATTGCCCTAGAATCGATGTTCTGATACCAATTGATGATACTTAAAGCGTAATGTATTTTTGGTGTATATATTGAATGAAAAACAGATAGAAATTGAAAGGAATTACACTACATTGTGAGCAATCGAGAGGCTCACTCTCTCCCACATTGATTCCCTGATTTTCTGCCTAACTAATTTGGAACTATAGGGAGAAGCCTATACAACTTTTAAAACCCCATAATACCCCTATGTAAATGACAATTGAACTAACTACTAATATTTGGTTATCTCAGTTTGGTTGTGCTTATTGGCAATTGTTTTTCTTATAAAGTAAGAACTTTACTTAGTTTGACTGTAAGTGGGATTATTGTTAGAATAAGTAGCTTTTTTCCAACTTAGGCCTATAAAAAGACTTGTTATCTGACCCTGTATGTGCCTCTTAATTCGATTCGAAGCGCAGTAGCTTTGGAAGATTTCAAAAAATTAAAAAAAGGAGCAAAACATTGTATTGAACCTTGTCAGATTGAACCAGAACTTTTGAACAGAATAGAGTGCTATTTGAACCGTCAATGGTGAGAAACAGAGAGTATGGTAGATGTATGCTTTTGCTAAATGGATGTTATGACTAGATTAAAATTTTGCACTTTTCTTCCATCTACCATATGGACGGCAATAGTAATGCATTTTGCAATCAAACTTTACTATAAGAGCCTACTCCAACCCTTCTGCTTTAATGTCCTTTGGCAGCTGGTCCAGTCTATTGGAGACCCTTCCTCTCCCAAATGTAAGTCTACAATTGTGTTTTACTTAAGCATCCACCTATGAGAGTTACTGCTCCAGAATTTATCACGAGTATTCTTTTCATATATGGATCACTGATTTCTGATCTGTTTTAAATTAATATACTTGCACAGATTAAATGGATCTGCCCGACTGCTCCGCAACGACCAATGACTTTATTTGGAGGCTTTCCTTCAACTGCTTGTAAGTTAAAGAAATTATATTGTGTTTGTTATGCATTCAGAAGAGATACAACATGGTAAAGGTTGCAAACGGGCCAAGAGAAACTGAATGCTTGGAGAATTTTTGAGCTCAAACTTTATTGTATTATGTTAGGATCAAATTCAATAGTGTCCAGGGTGAAGTTCAATCTGTAGCTTGTTTATAAAAAAAAATGAGTTGTGCTCAAGCTTCAGCTTGATTTGAGACTAGTTTGAACCCAAGCAGAGGCTCAAGATTTTGGGGGTAATCCTTTTGTTTTAGTACCTCAAAAAAATAAAAAAAAATTAGTACATTGTAGCATTATTGCTAAACAAACACAACATAGTATTTGAGCTTTGCTCATCTAGAGTGTTGCTGAGCTCAAGGCTGAAATGGCTGGTTGCTGGTTCATGAACAGGCTCACTGGCTTTTAATTTTTTGAGTAATTTATTTGTATTGTATATGTTACTCAACAAAAGGGGAAAAACAATCATTACTAGCTTATAATTAAAGGCTTGTGACTATAGTTTGTCTAAAAGCTGTCTGTATTGTGACTTGTCATGGCCATACCTCCACCCCCTTCCCCTTCTAAATTTGTGTAGGGAGATTTCTCCAAACATTAATTATCAACGTTATTTCTTGTGCTATCTATTAGGGTTTGATGTGAATGAACTTTCTGAAAATGCTATTGATGATATAGAAGGTTTGGATGCTACAGCTGCATATGTTGCAAACTTATTGGCCAATGAACCCCCAAACAGTGAGTTTCTGCTTGCAGCTTTTATATATGTACTCTCTCTGCATATTGTGTTTCAGTATCTAAAATTCTAGAACCTTGTCACTGCCAAAATGGAAATTAGGAGATATAAGTACTGGATTACATCCCCTGACTGCTTAAGGACGCATGGTGAACCACTAAGGGTCGGTGCTTATTCTGACTGCAGAATGTTAATATTATTCTCCGGCAACATGAATGTCATACTTATATCATCTTCAAGGATAAGTGACATGAATCATAATAGGAGAAATCCAACTAGTCTTCATTTATTTTGCTTCATAATACATGGTATAATTCTTGGAGAGTCACATCTGCTTTGTGGGCTTCTTCAGTTTTCTAATAGAGAGGTCTATTTGCATCTGAAAGTGGTACAACACTGGACAAGAGCGTCCTCCACACTGCTTACTCTATTAGGCCCTACTGGACGGCACATACATACATACATACATACATACATATATGTATGTATGTGTGTGTGTGTGTGTGTGTGTGTATATCTGCACCATGTATATGTGTTTCTATGTGATCCCTTTGTAGTGCTATTGTATTCTTTATACTAATACTGGAACTGCCTTTGATGTCACCTTGTAGGGTGTCTTAGTGCTGTCTTGTTTTCATTCTCTAGCATGTAAGGAAGCATGAACTTTCTATTATTTCTTCTAGGAAACAATTTAAGACATTGTGATATGTTCACTCTATGTAACTTGTATGAACAAGTTTGGGATCCGGATATATGTTGGCAATATAATGGGACGACAAATAACATCTGTCCTTGAGTTAATTTCGTTTCAACCCTTTTTTTCCTTCTTTTACAAGTGAGCTTCAAATCTTGTGGAGTTTTTAGCTTGGGCCAACTTCCAAGCAATTACAGTTACTTTTAATTCTGTTGACATTTTTCGCAGTCAAACTTGGTGTTGGAGGCTTTAGTATGGGTGCAGCAATCTCCCTCTACTCAGCAACTTGCTTTGCTCAAGGAAAGTATGAGAATGGCAGCCCATACCCTGCCAATTTGAGTGCAGTTGTTGGATTAAGTGGCTGGCTTCCATGTGCAAAGTCAGATTCCTGACAATATTATTATCAGAAATGATATCTTAATTGAATTCTCTTCATTTTGATATACTATCGTTACCGATATGTTTCTCCAGGAAGCTAAATAGCAAAATCGAAGGGGTAAATGAGGCTGCCAGCCGAGCTGCATCCTTGCCTGTTCTGCTTTGTCATGGAAAAGGTATAAATCCTAAGGATATAGCTTTAGTGGATGGAGGAACTGGTATTTCTTCTGGTTGAGAAGATTTTAGGGAGTAATCTATCTATTTTCACTTTTTTTTTCTTTATTTTCCCTGCAAAGAGGAAGCATTTTTCGTCTAGTGTTTAGTACGAGGAAACTTAGATTCAGGTCATATAGTTTATTTTGTGAACGCTTGTTGCCATAGTTTTTGTGCATTTATCTTTGGTAGTTGATAGGGTACATGGTGGTGATAACAGTACAATCTGATACAGGTGATGATGTGGTTGCTCATAAATTTGGTGAGAAGTCTGCAAACAAGCTGTCTTCGTGTGGATTTCAAGATGCAACGTTTAAATCCTATTCTTCGTATGTACTTTTTCTCACTGTTACTAAAGCTTTTTGTCATTAGTTCGACAGTAATTGACTGAGCATTCCACCTAACAGGCTTGGTCACTATACTATCCCTGAAGAAATGAACGAACTTTGTGTATGGCTAACTTCAAAACTCGGCCTGGAGGGGACATCATGAGAGCTCGAGTGGAGCAATAGTACATGGAGGGATTTATTATATATTTGTTTTGTATACAATGAATTTGATGGACTATTATTAAATGGCACTTATTTTGGCCTAAACCAGTAAACTTTCACCATTGTTCTTGTGTGGCTTTTTGCTATCTGATGTACACTGTATTGCTTGATTGTAGACATATGGGCGCGGGTGCTTAAATATTATTTGATAATTATCAGTTTTGGGCATGGTTTTGAAATATGCAATCTAGTAGTAGGTCACCGATGTCGAATCTGCCCGGTTGTCTGCCAATGTTACTAGTTAAAGTAGCCAACTTTATTGTTTTTAAAAACCAATGTGATCATTTAAATTGCTTTCAACCAATGCAAAAAAAGCACCCGTTTGCGCCAAATTGAATGAGGAGCCGTATGAGGTGAAAATTTCATGTACGATTTTGTAGATTGACAGTGAGGGTGATTTATCTGTCAACTTTTTGACTATTGTCCCAAAAAAATCAAACTCTACAATCAAATGATTTAAAGTATATTTTCCATCTCTTCTCGAGAAACAAATGAATTATTTTTTCGCAAAATTGTGTTTAATTTCATATGTGATTTTTGACAAAAGTAGAGTTGATTGGCAGCACGGGCATGGAAGGATATTAGTAATTATTTGAATGCTCGTTGATACTCAAAAGCTTTCCAGTCACCTCAAATCAAATTCTTGTAAAATAATCGCATTTGACCAATTTTTACCCATCCTGTCATTTTGTCGCAACCTTCTTCCTTTGCCGGAGCTCGAAAAAACGGCTATGAAAATAGGCAGGCCATCACGTAAAATAACAGACTTTTAGCCCCTGGTTGAGTTCCATTTTTTATGAAAAATGGATTTTATGAAAAATGATTTGTTTTTGAAAAAATGTTGTTAAAAAGTAATAAAAAGTTTTAAATTTACACACAAAATCATTTTATTGAAAGAAAGTGCAATTTAAAAAAAAAAGGACTTAAACAGTGTCTTAATCTTTTCAGAATATTGTACATTTGTTCACGAGTAATATGAGTAGGAAAGGAGCAAAATTTCAAATGTCTGCTCTTAGATGGAAGTAATACAAAGATAAAGATGATGATGATGATGATACAATATAAGTATGATTGATCTGAATGCAAAAATATACAAAAAAAATAGGTTCTGTTCTGATGTATACACGAAAGACATACAATGAAGAAAACTCATTAACAGAGATTCAGTATGCAAGGAAACAGATATCCCATCTTGAGGGAACCAAATTGCAGCAACTCAATTCAGAACATCAAACAAAGCATCTTAAAACCATCTCCTTCGAGCAGTTTTTGCCATCCCCATCTTCTCAAGCAAGAAACTTCTACATAATGTTTTCCAAAAGCTCCAAAAAAGCTCTGGTAATGTATCTGCTACTTGGGCACAATTCTTAGGTTTGATAAAAGAAACAGCAGTGAGGGAAAACAAAGAAAGATGAAAACACAATATCAAACAAGCATGAAATCAAGAATTTTAGCGGTAAAATTTAGCTCTCAATGGTCCGCAAAGTTTCTTCAACCGACAATGATTGGAGGAATCCTTCAATAAACAAATACTTTCTTCACCATTCTATCAGACAACCAAATTTCACCTCGGGAACTCTTTTATAAACGCCACATCCCCACCTAGTGATGGTAGTAGCAACTTATCTTGATCTCCGTCTTCACTTTCTGTTGGCTCATGTGGTGTTGCACTAGACGAAGAACCACTACCATCATCTTCTGAATGTAGTGAAAAGATAATCATGAGGAAGTTATAATACTCTCACAAGAGATTTCTCGTGGAATGATTAGTCTATCATCATAAAGGGGAATCACAAAGAGATAAATTTGGGGGGACACAACTGCATTGAAGCAGCAGAAAAAAATGCTTGCCTGTATAAGCAGCATGATATTCAGGAAGCTGCTTTACAGTTGATACTTGTAGACTTTCAGGAAGAAGACAGCTACAGAAAGCACCTGCAAGTTAAAGTTTTCAAGTGAGAGAGATTCAGAAAAAGAAACATCGAGTTTTATATTGGCGATGGCATGTTAGAGGCAAGAATCTTGCATAACGAAATTCAGGTATGAATGACATTAAACTAATTTCCAAGTGTGACCATCATCAACCCAATTGTTTCCACACCATCCAATATCCTTGAAATCCTGAAATTCTCCAGCTATAACAAACTATTTTTATCAAGTACAGGGAATGTCATCAATGCCAAACAAGTATGCCAAAAAGGTAGAAGTGCCATTTATTTGTTTTATTTTAATTGAGCAACCAAAATCTTGCACAGATTCCTGATCTCTATTGCCCCCATAACTTCTTGCACGAGCAACAACTGACCAATTAGGTTAGCGACCGTTCACATGGTTATTAAGACATGGAAATGTACAAGAAATAGAACTTGCCAAGAAAAATAAAAGCAACTTTTAATGATAACATTTTGATGGACGGAAAATTCAATAAAAATGAAGATCGTACCTTGATGTGGAAAAAGGTGGTTAGTTATTTAAATGAGTTATTAAAAGACATTCTAAAGTAAAGCCCAGCTAATAACCAAATGGCGCAGTGGAAAGAACGTTCAGTTGACAGTTAAAGCTAAAAGAGAAGTCTGAAAATTTGGAAAAATACAAAAATGCAAGGAGGATTTTCAGAAAGATAAGATAGCTAATGGGAAGGAAAAAAGGATTATATCGGGAGTCACTTAAAGAAGAGTATAGTATAGTCATCTTGGAACCAATTATAGGGAGGAATAAGATATCTCGGCAAAGGAAAAGAGAACAGAGATCTTAACCAAGTTGTGTGAAAGATAAAAATCAGAAACTTATTTGTTACGATGAGATCACAAAATTTAGAGGAATTAGTTATGCAAGTTATTTAACAGAATGCATATCGCGGATCTTGTAAATCTTTTGAATTTTATTATAAATAGGCATGTTCCTACTTGGATAGTGATCTTAGAAATGTGTGAAGTTGTGAAGATGATTAAGAAGAGAAAAGCAATCACATTTGATGGACCCAATATCCCAGGCACAATGAGTGTTCTATGGTTGACAACATTATTTAATGAGATCTATGAGCATAAAAAGATGGCTAATAAATGGAAAGATGTAGACCCTATAAATGTAAGAAACTCAAGATTGCACAAACTATAGAGAGAGAAAGTTACGAATCATATTATGAAAAATGGGAGTTGATGACTGGGCCCAGATTGGAATATTTTGAAAGTCTCACACAGCGAATCTGTTTTTATGCTGCGAAGATTTACTGTGAATTCTATTGCTTGGTAAATTATACAGAACATAAGACATGCATATGTTATCCAGTGATATGTAAAGAGTACATGATATGGTATGTAGGGAAGTGCCACAATGGATGCTAGAGAAAAATGATTTCTATTACATCAGGATCACGACATGTACAAGGGAACTATCACGAACGTAAAACTTAACGAAGCTTCTAAAAGGAAATTGAAGCACTTCAGAATACAAGATCTTTTTTAATGAGAACTAATACCAAATACACAGAATAACTTTTTAGTCATTGCAGGAATAAGGATAAAGAAAGAGTCAAAAACAGATTATGAAAAGGCTACAGTAATTCTATTGACCAAAAGATATCTATCAAGGTAAAACAAAATTCTATAGAACGATTATTACAGCATCTATGCTTTATAGCTTGTTGGCTTATAATGTCAATAAAATACATGCGAAAAAAATGAAGGTGTTAGATGGATATGCAATTACTTAGATCATTTCCAAGAGGCTCTCTATTTTTAATGAGCATATTTTGCAATTTTGAGAGCATCTATAAATTTAAAGAGTAGAAATTTTTTAGTACTCCAACGGGCTCTTTATAATTAACACTTAGCGCCCTTGTTTGACACCCATTAAAATTTAATACATTTTTCTCTTTCTTCTTCTCAACCACACATTCTCTAATAAAATAATATTATACGTAAATTAAAAAAAATTCTTTCTGTTCTTAAATTTTATTTTATTATTATTATTTTTTTTTAAAACAAAGATTCCTTGTTTACTGATTACATAAGAAATTCTAGCTGCCACCACAACTAAATGTGATTAAGCCCTTGTTTGAGCCCAATTTTGTAGGGGAAAGTGTATTTTTGAATAGCGTATTGATGGAAAATATGTGGTTAAAAAATAAGGAAAAGTTTTAGATTTGTGTATAATATTATTTTATTGAAAAATATGTAGTTGAAATTATGTCAAAACACTATAGAATAATGCATTTTTCCTAAAAAATGGGGCTCAAACAGGGGCTGAAATTATATCCAAGTGAGAACTTTATACCTAGCCGAGCCAGCCGATTCACCCATCCAGGAATCCCTTTCCTTAACAATCTCTTGCTGATATCATCTGTAAAATGATTGCAGTTCTTGGAAATGAGGTGATAGGTGTTCCCATGATACTCAGAAGCTACACCCTCAATAAATGTACGAAATTCAGAGGGAGGCATGTCAAGATGACCCAGAGGGACAGAACATCTATAAATGAAACCAGGACAACTCTTAGGCTCCACTTCAAACACTCCACTGATTGGGAAGTCATGTGCTCCAAAACCATATTCCTTACCATGAACTGAAAATTTTCAGAAAAATAAAATCAAGGAATGTACCAAGTTATTAGAAAGAAATTGTTTGGATCTAACTCATCAGCCAGTGGAATTATGCAAGATAAAAAGCACGAAGAATAATACATGAGCTTATGACTACATGTCTTTGCGCTTGGAGGTGGATAATCCTTACACTTTTGTCAGTTAATTATCCTTGCCAGCAAACTTGTAGCCATAATGGTGGAGATCTGTAATTATATAATATTAAAGATTTAAAGATTAGATAGTTATTTTAAGAAAAGCAATTAGGGTCTAGTTTCAAAGACACTCTTGGATTTTATGTTATTGCTTTAGTTGTTATCCTAACTTAATTAGACTACTAGAAACCCAATATAAAGAGGGTTTATGCATTGAATAAAAATAATTCTCTCTCCGGTCCAGTTTCTCTCCTCTCAAGGATCTTCTCTTCCTCTCCCCTTTCTTCTATCTTCTCCCTCTTTCTCTTCTTCTTCTTCTCTCCTCTTTTTTGCCCTTCTTTCTATAGTTCTGGTTATTGTTACAAGCATTGTCGTCACTTAATAATTAACTTAATGAAATAATGCACATAAACATAATGACAAGAGAACAATGAAGATTGTATCGGCACTGATTACTTCATAGAATGAACACCTACCCCTGGAAAAAGATTTATACTTACTACGCTATAGTTACAAGATCAAAAGCCAATAATGAACATAATAGGAAAAATCATGATAGAGCATTTGTCCATCTCCGCAACATGCCGAGTTTAGTAATCAGAAAGCAAAACAAGTCTAAAGCTTTTGCCTCCCTCATTATAAGGAACTTGTATACAAATGCAAAAAAGGCTATATACTTTCTAGTTCTACAATCAATAAGATTACTAAAATCTTGTTAGGTGCTTAAAAAATTTAAAAGTTTCTTGGGTGAGCTTTTGGCCATAACAAATGCATCCAACTATGGGAGCAGCTCCTGTTCATTATGAATTATATTGCACTGCTATAGATGTTCAAAAGGCACTTTACAAGGGAACTTAATAAAAACGAATTAAAACAGTATTGAGGTATAAACACTAAAACCAAGGCAGAAATAGATATGCCGGGCAATTTGCTCCACCACCCATCTCCAGCTGCATATTATAGTCTCACACTCCTTTTCTGTTTCATAAATCGTTATTCCTTCATTTATCTTTCCTTTTTGTAACACTTCGCATGACCTTGTCTGTTTTGAAATGTTCGCAAGACATCTTCCCTGGCTAAGCCTCAAGTCGCAATCTTATTGCCCAAATAGAACTTTTATCCCTAGCATCTAGCTCATCTTCCATTTCTACCGCACAGCATCAAGAGAGGTTGAAAGTTACCTAGTTGATCCATCCATAATTTTTTTTTTTTCCTTTTCAGCTATCGGAATGTCCACATGTACGTGTGGCAAGTGTAGCCATGTATTCAATGAATTTTGGGTCTAAACAAACATTGAGCACTATATACTTAAAGTCCTAGCTTTTGGATGTGTGAACTCTTCTCCTGTCTTGCTTTTTCATATGCTTATAAATGACCCAACAATCTGAATAGATCATAAACAACAGAATTCTGCGTAATATTACAAGAATCATTAAATGAGGCATAAGAATTTACCTAAGGGAAGTGATGCATTTATCCAGATATACAAGCATGCATCATGTGCATGTTGCTTTAGATGTACATTCACAGATCCTGTCATCACTCAGAGATTTTATAATTATCAAAATTTGTCATTTTGACTTGCCCATGTGTGTAAGACATAGTGAACATTAGCAGATCAAAAAGAAAACAGTTTGTCACCTTTACACTACTGTAACTACAGACCCAGCAAAGAAATCATGATCCCAAAAACGTATAATGAAATGGAACACAGAATCCGAAAGATGATGATGTGGCCATGATAATTGCATACATCATGAACAATTGATGCTTAAAAGCCCAGGCACAAAATCCATGAGGGTGCTGATTGTATTAAATCGTTATCTATTGCTCAACTATATTCAAATTTCCACCCCCAAAAGATCAAATTCACGTCATACCTAAAAATTAGATACTTCATTGCACTTTTTTTAACTAGAAAAATTATCTTACTCTAACCCATACTATAAATGATTAGCGCTCCAACAGTGATCGCACAGATTGCCATTTAATTACAAGTTTACCAATACCTAACTGGCATATTCTTTTCGTAAAAGAACTTGCCATTTCGTGCCTTTTTATCTGCTCAATGCCAAAAGCACATATGTGTCCTTAACAAACTTTTACTTGAATAAAACTAAATATATGTATGGCAAATATAGACTATAATAATTATAACTTAAAATCTGCATGTATGCACTTCAGGATGCACTCATTTAGTAAATGCTCGGGGTTATGATCTTGCACCACTCAGTCACCTATGCTACGTATTTGTGACTTGGGCTGATCAGATGGCACTATAATATGTAATATTTGACACTGTTATAAAGTGCCTATTTCGTTATGCAAACTTGCACATCTAAGATAGAAACTATATTCATGAGGCAGATTAATCTAATCAGGGATGCCATGAGCGATGTAAACTTAAATATTTACTAATGTAGTATTATTATAGAATGGCAGGGAAAGATGGAGAAAAAAATAACAACGTCAAGCAACTGCAAAAATTAGGAAAAATTAATGAGTCCGACATTTCTACCCACATTTGTTGATTTCATGTTTTGGAAATTATGAACCGAACAAATCATACTCTGTTTTAAACTTCCACCAAAGTTTGTGGATCTTAGTTAGCATATATTTCATATGCCACAGAAGAGATCAAAGGGAATAAAATTGCCCGAGCCCTTGTTATTTTATTTGAGTTTAGGTTTAAGTTAATATTTTACACGTAGTAATTCATTTATTCTCAAACTACTGATATACGATATATTTATTTGAGTGAATAATCCTTTATATTGGAATGGGAAAAGGGTCAAATGGTTTGGCAATTCCTCATAGGGGGATGAGTTGAGAGTATTAATCAGAGTGCTGAAATTTTTCCATCCTTAGTCATAATAATATCTTTGCAGCGATAATTTGGTATTCTACTATACGCCCATAAACTAAAATGTCTATATTTAACTAATTGGCTGCCTGCAGGAATAGTCGAAGCCAAATCCAATAAAAAAAGGATGTTATTCAAACGAATTTCAAGTAATTGTAGCAAAACTTGACCGGTTGACCACTTAGCTTTTCAGGAGATACGAACCTAACTAATTGTCTCTCTGTAAGACCATAATAAATAAGCAATTTTTGTTTTTTCTTCTAGACAAAACAATATTGAGACTTTTTTCAATCTAAGATCACTCCTGGCAAGAAGAGAACTTAAATCATCATGACACAAGATGGTAACCAAGAAAACAAGATTTGAGCTGGTATTAAACTGTAGCCAAATCCAGTAGAAAGATTAAAGAAACAGAAACAGAAATAACCAAATTCATATTTTCATGCAAGAAATTTGAATCAAAGTTCAAACTCATCTTGATAAAAATCATCATTATAAAATAACTCACATTTCAAGAATTTCCCCAATATTCTCTTCCACATATCTACCTCAACATTTTAACAAATTAATAGAAACCCCAATCTCATGTTTTATCAGAAAACGGACCGAGGGCCTAAATTTACGCTAACACATATACCCACAAGTGTACGTATACAAATGCAAATATGTTGAAAACAAGAGGAGCCGTTTCTAGATTTCTCACCTTCAATGCCAGAATGGAAGACCCCAAAACCAAACCAAACAGAGTACTGATTTACAGGTGTAAGGTCATATACATTCAATATCACTTCGGATTCTTCGCTGCTGCTGCTCGCATCTGGTTCGGGGTTAGACTTGCAGGCCTCGTTTTCTTCCCCCATTTGATGCTTTATATGTTCCTCAATTTTTTTTCCCTTTTGACGAATGTTTGTTTGAAATCAGAAATGGAATGCAATTTGTGGGTAAAATTTCATTACATAAACGGAAGCTTTAGATATTGATAAATGGGTTAGAATCGGAGTTTTCTCTCTTAGATAAATGGCCAGAGAAAGAGGTTCAAACTTTTCTGAAACCAGAAAAAAAGAGTAAAGTGCTATCAATTATTGGAAAAGTTCATTTTAGTCCTCGAAATTTGGATGTAATTTCAGGAAAAAAATGTAGAGTCAAGAAGGGGTAGATAGTTTATCTTAATCAACCAACGTCAAAAATTAATTACTGAACTGTCTAATGAATTGTATTAATAGCTCAGCTTTAGTCACCAATGGCAATGTTGGAGGGGTGAGATGAAATTTCCTTTCACGAAGCTCGCTCTTGTCGATCATAATACCTGAATGAATGAATGTATACTATCAGTGTTCTAAAATACATAAATTGTGACTAAGCATTAAGGTCAAGAATTAAACTTTAGAAATCAATGCTAAAAATGCGTTTTCTTAATTTTAATATTGTTTTAAATTTTTATTCATTCAAAAACCATTTAACAATTAAAATAATACATATCAAACATTTAAAATTATAAAATTCTATATTTAGTTAATAATTCCTAGAATTAGTCAATTATACGATTTTCAAGTATTCAAAATGCGAAAGCTATACTATTTTTCATACAGGAATCCATATTAAATTTTATCTAACTCTTTGTTTGACTCCAATTAAATATCAGCTTCTTCATCTAATTCGTCTGTCATCTTGTTCAACACAAAATCATCCTCCTTGGACTACTTTATTTTCATTTTGAACATTTATAGTAAGTCATATAGATTGTAGGATATCATTCTTCACCCTATCATCATTATCACAACCCTCTATAATTAAAAAAACTGGACTTGCTTAGTACGGTTTACCTGACTGACGTAATTTACAGGCTATTGCGTCAGTCCAAAGGTTTACCCAAAAGGTAGCGACTGTGGATTCTCCTATCATAAAAAAACATATATATCTATATATGTGTGTGCGCGCGCGTGCGCCTTAGTAGTATCACTTGCTAATAGAGTCTCTATTTTGCCCTTCCTCTTCTTCTTGTTCATCAACTTTACATTAAATTGGATATAAATAAGATTGTTCATCCTTGTAGTGTCAAATCTATTTCTTTACTTGGTGTGCATGTAAAAAGAAAAGAGAAAGGAATATACATTTAATAGAGCTAAGTGTATTCAAGTAATTATTCATTTACTAAAAGAAAAGAGTCCCAGAATTTATATCATAGTAAAAAATTAGTACGTAAAGCATAACAACCTAATTAGTACTTACCCTTCAAAAGCACTCCTAATTAGTAAGTCAATTAAAAACTATAAATTAAAGTAAAATAAAAGGTTTTAAAAAAATTAGTATAGTCACGCCTAATCACGCATTAAGCGGTCAACTTGAAAGTTGAATTTTCAGTTTCGACTAATTTATACTTGATTAATTTTATTATTTGGATTTTTTAGATTCAGCCAATTCATAACTTCTTAAGTTTGGGCGAGGATTACAGTACTTCAACATTGGGCTATAGCTTATCCTAAAAGAAAAACTACCCCAATCCCTACTTTCTAACTTTTTCAAAACTTAGAGAGCAAATTTAATGAATACTCATCAAACTTTTACCCCGTATTCCTATTTGATCACCCAACAATAAAATGCCTCGATGCTTGTTTAAGACTGTAAATAGATTTATGAAGTTTACACATCAACTGTTGTTGAGTGTACCCTTAGCCACCAAATGTCCCTCGTATCTACATATACTACCATCTAAATTATACTTGATCTTATAAATCCACCTGCAGCCTATAAAGTGTTTACCTTTGGGCAATTTTCCAATGGACCAAGTGTTGTTCACTTCCATTGCTTTCAATTCAGCTGCGATATCATCTTTCCAATGGTCATACTTCACTGCTTGATGATAATATTATGGTTCAAAGTCTAATGACACAAATAACAAGTAATGATGATGTGAAGGAGAAAAGGACTTGTATGAAATTTAATTGGAAAGAGGATAAGGAGACTTGTCAAATGCCTGATGGGAATTTGTTAGAAGGTTGCAATGGAAATCTTTAAGGTATGAAGAGGGATTACTGAGTCTAAAGGATCTTCTAGGATTGGTAGGTATCAACGAATGGTCATTGATTGGAAGTGGATGAAGTTGTAAATCACTTGCAACCTCAATAGGTATTATAGGAGGTGTGATGGTAGATGAAAAGTAATTGGGTATATCAGAAGCAATTTTAGGTAAAATAATATTAGGAAAATGATCAATATTGTCAAATTTCTGAGAAATGGAATGGAAATACATTTTCATAGAAAACAACATCCCTGGATATTAAGAAAGACTTAGACATGGTATCATATAGTCTATAACCTTTTATACCTAGGGGATAACCAATAAATACATAGGTTCTAGCTGTGGGATCAAACTTTGATCTATGAGAAGGCAGAGTGCAATTCCCAAATACTCTAAGGAAATTATAATCTACTGGAGATTTGTGTAATAGGCTGCATGGGGATTTGTTCTTTAAGATGGAAGATGGTGTTCGATGGATGAGAAATGTAGCTATAAGGATACATTCTCCCCAAAAATGAATAGGTACACGAGCCTGTAAATACAAAGCTCTAGCCTCATTAAGAAGATGTTGATGCTTTCTTTCCACCACTGAATTTTGTTCAGGCCTCTCCACACACAAAAATTGATGAATAACTCCTTTTAAGTTGAAGAATTCAACAAACTATAGCTTTGCTACAGTGTCTGACCTGAATTTCTTGATAATTTTATGAAACTGAGTCTCAACCATTTTAAAGAATCTGGGAATGATTGAGTGAACATTTGATTTATGTTTCATGAGCTACAATCATGTAAAACATGTACAGTCATCCACGAGTGTAAGAAAATATCTGTAGCTAGAGTATGTTGGGACATGGTAAGGTCCCCAAGTATCACAAAGAATCACGTCAAATGCATCAGTTGACATATGATTGTTGAATGTAAAGGAAAGTCTCCTTTGTTTGGCTAAAGGGCATATATCACAAGGAACATAATCATGATTCCTATGCTTATTACAAACTAAATATAATTGATCTTTTATCATGTTTAACTTTTGAAAGAACAAGTGGCCTAGTCTATGATGCCAAGTGCACATATTTACAACATTAGAAATAGATACACATACATTTTCAAGGGAATACTTTGTGCTAAGCCAGATGAGTTATCACTCATTATGTATAGACCAGCAACTTTTCTATCCTTGTCAATCATCTTCAAGCTGTGCAGGTCCTGGATAATGCATGAATCAATCAGAAACTTGACCTCAAGGTCTGGTTAGGGAACTAATTGATAACAAATTGATTTGAATTGTAGCACAAACAACACATCTTCAAGTGTCAGATTCGTAGCAATTTTCACTGTACCAATAAACTCTATAGGGATTCTCATACAATTTGGCAATATAACATAAGCATTCTGTGTTGGTTTCATTGTATGAAAAGCGTTGAAGCAAATGTGGCTGGTTGTTCCTGAGTCCACTACCCAATGTCTAGGTGTATTGAGCAATGGATTAAGTGAGATGGAAAAACATGTACCTGACACTTGATTATATTGTATATCAGCTGCTGCATCATCTTTTTAGATGCCAAATGACTACTCAACACTTTCATCAAATGCTGATATTGTGTAGGATTCAAGGTCTGCATGAATTCTCCAACATTTCCCTGTGTTTGATCTAAAATAGATATAGAAACTTGATTAGCAACAACATAATTTGATTGATTGTTACCATTTGATTGGCTGCTAATGCAGATTTCTGCTTAATCTTATATCCAGGAGGATAACTGTGCAATTTCTAGCACTTGTCCACAGCATGGCCTGCGTAACCACAATATGTGCAATAGGTCTTTCCTCCTTTTGAAATTATTATGCAACTATCCTACATTGGTTTTTTTGAGATCATTTTTGGTGTAGAAAGCCATGGAATCAGCAAAACCAGAACGAGAAACATAGGCATCGATATTAACATTCCTTTGATGTTCTTCTTGAGAGACAAGATAGAAAACATTGTTTATTGGAGGCACAGGATCCATTCAAAATAACTGCCCCTGACTTGGGAAAATGAATCATTTAACCAGAAATGACATAACATACTCCATGTGATAGTGTTCGGCAAGTTTTTTGGTTCCTCCACAGTTTCACCATCCACGAGCATATAGGCCTGTAATTACTTAGTTCTTCCAAGATCATCTTCAATTTGGTGAAATATGTCCTAACAAAGCATTGTCCTTTTGTGTGATTCAATAATGCATGCCTCAATTGAAATATACGATGTCCATTCCTCTGTTGATATATTTCCTTTAGATAAATCCATGTCATGTGCAGAATCAGAGCAAAAGACACTTGCATATATCTCTTTAGGTACAAAATTAAGGATCATGAAATCACGCTATTGTTGTAATGGATCTAGCTATTAAGGAGGTCATCGTTACCTTCAGGCTGAGAAATGGATCCATCAATGAATCCGAGCTTGTTGTTTACAGCAAAACAATCATCACTACTCGATTCCAAGAAGCATAATTGTCTCCAATTAGAGATTGTGAATCAAAGTTAAACCCTGGGTTATCTGCATGATGAATGAAAAATGGACTAAATCCATCATCAATGGCGAAATTGCAAATTGATGAGGACGATTGATTCTGATTTGAGGCATCTATATTTGTTGCCATGATGAATTAGAAAGGTTTTGAACACAATTGTTTAATGAATAAGAGTTCCCAAAGGAATTGGAAAAACGCAAATAGAAAAAGCATACTAAAGCTATGATACCATATTGAATAGAATGGAGAGAATTGTACTGAATTTTATTCGATCAGAAAATGTGTTCGATTATAATGTACTGCAATGCTATATAAATACGAAGAAATGAACTTTGCTCAACTGACTGTTAACTGTACAAACCAATCTAAGTTTGACACGTGGGACTTAACTACTATAACTGTAAACTAACTCAATTAACTCTAGCTGGACTTCAGTTGACATGCTTTGCTTGCTGCTTGCTGGTGTTGATGAATGTTATGGGCTCTTTATTTTGTTATGAAGCTATGTTGGGTAAATAAATAGCTTCTTCTTTCCTGCAAAATCTAGTCTATTTTCCTTCGATGAGGTGTTGTAGTTACTCCATATCTTCGCATCCATTGACGAATGCATAGATGAGTATCTGTCTTCCTCCTATTGCCGCCAGTATGCCCATTTTGTGACTCTGATCGCTATTTGTGCTCAAGATTGATGGATGATGATCTACACTGCAACTTCATTGAATGGGATTGGTTAGGTCTATGGCTGGTTAGGACTATGGGGCGGTGGTTGTTTGGTGGTGGAAGTGGGGTTATGATTTAATTATAAAGTAGTAGCTCTTAGGGTCAATGATAGAGATGGCATTGCGATGGCGATGGTGGCGATTACTATAGATCCACAAGTTTCGTAAAAAAAGCTTGATGTCATCATCGACAATGTCTCTCTCTCTATAGTTGCCGATGATGGAAGGTGTTGTGAGATTGGGTAAGAAGAAAAGTAGTGGCCACCAATGGTGGTGCGATAATAATGTGAAGGTAAGGTAGAGTGTGAGAGTAGTGTCTATGATCAATTAATTGCATAACTGAGATCAATTAATTGAATAATTTGTGAGTAATAAATAATGTGAAATGTTAAATATGTGATTTGTAACTAAAATATATAATTGTGACCTACAAATTGTATTTTTATAACAATGACTTTGGATTATTTGTAACTAATAAATAATAAATGATTTGTAACTAAAATACGTAACCGTAACTTACAAATTGTATCTTTGTAATCATGATATTGTGTGATTCATAGCTAGTACGTGATTATGATCATAAATTTTGTGTCATTGTTATCGTAACCTAATCAATTAAATTATAGGTCACAAATTTTTATCAGGGGTCACAAATTGTGACCACTTGATTTTAGAAAGAATCCATAAATTTGTTAATTTTAAAAAATATATCATCAAAACTTTGCAGTAATGTAAATTTTCCTGTCCTAAAATGTTCAATTTAGTCATAATTTTTATCTTTCTACATTAAAAATTTGCTTATTATTATTTTTTTTAATAATGAACCCTAAATATGATTTAGCCTACAACTTCACAAGCTCATATTCAAAATAGATATGAAAGGCCCATTTTGCATGGCTTTTTGATATGACCCAAGACTCGAGCCCAACGAAGGCAAGTGCGAGACGAGACCCGTTGATAGTTGATGGCGGACTGATGACGCGATCGAAGATGAGATGAGTCAACGAGGCGATAAGATTGCTCGTCAAGGCAACGATTGAAGAAACTATATTCGGGACTCAAAATGGAGCAACTTTCATGTTCAGGTCGAAAGTCGAATCAACTTGGATCAATTTAATATCGAAGGCCGAAACTAGAGGGAAATTTTAAGCCTGTACGATCATACGGGCATACACGCTCGCGATCGCACGGTGGTCTACCGAAACTCAAAGGAGGTATCTTGTTTGAACCATGCGACTGTATGGAATTGCACGGTGCGGTCGCATAAGCCAATTTTTGGGCGAATTTCTTATTTTTGGTATTTTTCCATATTTTGTTAGTTTTTTATTCTTTTTCATACTTTGAGAATTATGCTCGACTTTTGCACGATTTTTACCTAGTTTTTAGGTTTAGTATAAATAGAAGTTTTCATTCAATTGTAACAACTTTTGACATATTTGATATTGAATTAAAGTGAGACGTATTGTATTCTCTTCATTGTTCTTCATTGAACAACTTCGAACTTATCAAGTGTTAACTTGTGGCGTTCAAACAACTTGATTTAATTCTTGGATTGCGTGATCAAGGGGTCTTTCAAGCATCGTTCTTGTTGGATTTTTTTGTTCGACTTTCTTTTGGATTAATCCTAAACTCTTGGATTAATTTGGTTTTCTTGGGTTCGTCAATCTCGTTATAGGTTTCGTAGTTAACGTTGCTACGGAGTTCGCATCACTTTTTGAGAAGTTGAAATGAACTTTTGAGAACTAAAACTATTTTTGAAGTCATTTGACTAAATTTGTGAATGTGTTTCTTCTAGTTACAAAGGTTTTAGAGGAAGTTAGTTCAATATGATTTTTTTTTTAAAGTACTTTTTCATTAGGGAGCTCTTTTAAAATCATTTTACATGTAAATCCATAACTTTTGTTACCTATTAATTATACATTTTCCAAAAAAATACTATTACAAAATGTATTTTCCCAAAGAATGGGGCTCAAACAAACCTTAAATTCCTCATTTTAATTTAACTATAAATGTTCCACATAATTAAATCAAAGATGTGTCGAAATCAATACAAAGAAAATTAAGTTATTGTTTGATTTTGATTGTTTGAGAATTAGTTATTTCATATACTCATTTTTAACCATACATTCTCTAAAATAGCCATTTTTTACATTTAGTTATAACTTCTCCATATTTTTTAATCACACATTAACTCAAAAAAATATTTTTCAAAGAATAACTTCTCAAAAATTCTTTATCGAACAAAATCTAAATAACAAGAGAAGACAAGTAATTTTTTCCCAAGGTTCGAAGATGAATGTTCAAAGATGAATCTCCAATGTCCTCATTGAGCTTCAACTTTCCTCGATGGAATATAATCATAGTACTAGTAGAAAGATCGAATAATGCTATATATACATTCTCCCTTATCATTTGGATGACATTCCTCCATATGTGGAGAAAATCTGTGTAATGATGTGATAGATGAATTTAAAATCAAAGAGAATGTAGATGTTTTTATGTGGAAGAGTGTAAAGTAAAATGTAAATAAAAGTGCACATGTATAATGATTATACAAGATCAATTGTTTACGAAGTCACAATAAAAAATTCAAAACATCACATAGGGCCTGCTATAGCTCGTTTTGATTTTTTTGGTGGCTCCGTTTATTAGAGATTGAGAAAATTGATGTGTGTTAGTTTTTCAAAGTACAAAACCCACTCAAAACTAGTGTAGTGTAATTTGAGACATATTTCCCAACCCACAAATCGATTACTTTTGACCATTCTTCGAAGTTTCTTTTAATTTTATCCTTCATAAAATTTTACTTACAAGATAAAAATTCAATTGTGTAAAACATTGTTTATAAAGTGCAAAATACGACTAATAAGATAAAAATTCATTTATAATAAAATATAAAAAATTTCTTATAAGTAAAAACACATTTATGTGTAAAAAATTATTTATAAGTACAAAATTAACTTATAACTCTAATATTTACTTACAACTCAAAATTTTAATCATAAGTGTATATTTCACTTTTTAAGTTAAAAAATTTTATATGTAAAAATAAAAACCTTTATGTTTTCGGGATCAAAATTAGTGTTCATCAAAACCTAATTTTCCTCGTACTTACAGATTACTAAAAGTCATTTCGAAATTTCAAAACCCGATCCTATTAAAAAAAGTGGCTTTTTCAGTTCGCACCTCTCTATTAGTTCGAAGCACAAACGAATAAGTAACAAGATTCTAAAATATATTTGTACTTAGAAACTGTTTAAGCCTCATTTTTGTAAGAAAATATATTTTGAAATAGTGATTTTTTTTTTAAATGTGCAGTTAAAAAATAATGAAAATTTTCGATTTACGTGTAAACCTATTTTACGAGACAATGTGTGGCTGAAAATGAATTTTTGAAAAAAATGGAAGCCAAACATAGTTTTAGTATTTGTGAGCTCAGCTTGTCCAAAGATTCCAAACATGGATTCAATCAAAAAAGCTACATTTACAGGCCATACCAAGCAACTTCGAATTCTATTCTATGACCTCTTTTTGGGGATAGAGTAGTGATAAGGTAGGCGTGGAGTAGGAGGGCTAAAGTGCTGTTATGAAACAATTGTGCTACACTAACAAGGCCACGTCGGTCCCCTATGAGAGGTGGGGGAAAGGTCCTCAAATTTTCTTTTAATTTTACCTTTTATAAAACAATTATTTTCTAGCCAAATATTTTGTTCAAAACCAATTCGTAAATAAAAATACAATAACTTAAAATTTTATTTCTAAACAAAATAAAAAAAAATACGTCATAACTAAAAATTTACTTATAAGGTAAAAATTCAATTGTGTAAAAAATTGCTTATAAACTAAAAAATACTACAATTAAGAGAAAATTTCATATATAAAATATAAAAGTTACTTATAAGCAAAAATTCATTTATGTATAAAAAATTATTTATAAGTACAAAATTAACTTATAACACTAATATTTTTACTTGTAACTTAAAAGTTACATAACTTAAAATTTTAATTATAAGTAAATATTTCACTTTTTAAGGTAAAAGAAATTTATACGTGAACATAAAAACCTCTTTTTCCATACAAAATTAGTGTTCATCAAAACCTAATTTCGGTTGTATTCACATATTACTAAAAATCATTTTGAAAATTCCAAAACCCACATCTATTAAAAAGTTGGGTTCTCACCACTTTACCGTGTTCGAAGAACAAACTAATGAGCAACTAGATTCCCAAATATATTTGTACTCAATGTAGTTGTCAGCTCAGATTGTCCAAAGATTCCAAACACAAATTCTACTCTATGACCTTTTTGGGGAGGAGGGGGGCTAAAATGTTCTTTTGAAAATAGAAAATGTCAATAATCACATGCCAAAACAATAGAAGAAACTCATTTTCCTTTCTATTACCAGTGAGACACACGTGCAAAGCACACGTCATAATGTAATTGACTACGTAATGTAGTAGATATCAAAAAATAAATAAATAAATAATTGTATCAAGCATCAATTACATCAAACATAAGCACCTGAATACACCAAGAATTGGAATTCTTTTCTGCGTTGGAATACTTCTCTTCGTAAGATGCACATATATAGAAATTCAGACACTGCAATTAACGTAGGAATGGTTTAAGAAAAATTATACTAAAACGCTGTCTTTTTTATAAAATGAGGAGTTAAACAACATTGTACTACGATTAAAAAAAAAAAAAAGAGTTAAACGGCATCGTATTCGGTTCCCAAAAAAAAAAAAAAAACCATGAAAAAAGAGGCTAAACAATAACTTGGAAAGGGGTGAGACAAATACTAACATGGACACATCCATAGAAATAGTGCCAATGCAAGGTCACACTTTTAATATATAGGGAAGGGATAAAAACCCAATGCAATGCTCCAGCACACACAAAATAAAACCTATAAACACTCTGCTATACATTCAACTGATTCATAAAACAACGTAAATACAATTTATTCAAGTCAATAAGGAACAATTCAACGTAAATATAATTGTCTCAAAGATTGTCGAGTTTTTAAGGAAAAATAACAATGCAAACCCGACATTTGCAGCAATGACAACTAGTTTTCAGGTGTTGATCGATGCCCTATCATGATGCACCACTTGGCTTTGCCCGCTGTTGGAAGATTCGTCAACATCATCTATGGAATCGATTTCTCCATCACGGCTTTCGCCCCAAAGTCGTCTTGATGATCTTCTGATATGAGCACGAGTTCTTGAAGTAATGGATTGACCTGAAGTACTTCCCGGTCGGATTAATCGAACAAGGTAAAATACAGTCAGCCAGCCACCATCATCGATGGTCAAAGTGTTGCTGTCTTCGATCCTCTCTTCGCCAAAGGAAGAATGAAGTGTGCTAAGTAGATCTCCCAGATCACTCTGTCTCTCTAATCTCCTCCAGTTACGCTGCCTTTCTGGGTCGGTTTCCATTGGCCTAGCAAGTGGATGCACCAATCTTGCATGCTTCCGAATATCTGTATAAGTGCCACTGAAGTCACAGGTTTCACTTGCACAAAACCTTGATTTTGAGTTCATGAAACGACGAGCAGACTCCACAACAATAAACCCATTTATTAAACCCCGGCAAAGAGGACATACCAGCTTTGGCTTCTCTGGGATGTCAACCGACACACCTTCCACTGGCAGAGATGCGTTCCCTCTTCTTTCATCTTCTAAATCAGGGACCGTGGATTCTGATATCAATGTGGCAGATGTCGTCACGGAAGAGATTGAGATTGGTGTGTCTTCTGGTCTTTGCATCATTGGCGTAGCTTCACCAAACGACTTACGAAACTGGTCAAAACAATTGGAGTGGCGGTAGCTTGTGTCACACATGAAAGGGCGACAACCTTTCTCATGAGACGAACATAAAAGTAGAATCGCATTGTGGGGATGTTCTATACAAACTGGGCATCTGGCATCTTCCCATTCTTTCATATTCTTGTCATCCTCCAAAGGGTTTTTGGCCAATGATTCTCTTGAACGACTGGAACTGTAGGGAAAAGGAGATACCCTTGACCTATCAAATGAAAAGGAACGCTCTTTCCTTGCCTTAGGCATGTTCAGATACTAATACAACAGCACAAATACAAACACGTAACTCTTTCCTCCACAGCTGCAGAATAATTGGAAATGCTGTCAAATATAAACGAAACACAGCCAGACAGATATAGAATTCCTTATAAAAATAGACAACTAAAAGCTACAGCAGCTTAAATTTAATCTAGAATTCCACCACAAAAATGCAACTACTCGTTAATCTTCAAGACTAAGTCATGATAGACATACTTCCAGTTTAAATTATTAGCTCGACTACGGTATGAGCCCATGTTCTTTCACATGAACTAATAAAAAATAGGATACTTGAAGATATAAACCAACAATTACTGGGAAAAATTGTTCAGTGTTAAAAAATAAGTTATGCCAAGAGATATTTAACTAAAAAATTATATAGAGACTATGTAAAAGATATAACTTCACTAAACAATCCTGCACACGTTCAATCATTTTTCTTCGGTTTTGACTACTTCCTAGATATAATGAGCTTGCACTTCAAAGTACTTTTGCCTTTTTATTTAATGAGACTCAATCCATACCAAGTCCCATTTCCAACTAAGTAGTTAATTCAAGTGTATTGATTCTAGAAATTAACATATCTAATGCTGCTGGTCTCATATTTTGCAGTGAGAACTTTAAGATAGTACAAGCGCAAACAAATTGCAAGAAAAAAACAAAATATAAAGAATTGATCATAAAATCAGCATCCGATCAGGAAACAGAATTGTGAGATTATAAATAAAACTGCAAACTAAGTGTTGTCTCTAAATGTTATTACTGATTCCATTTACAAAGTAGCTTAAGAGTTTTTGCAAAATTCGAGCAAAGAGTGTGCATAAAAGTTAAAACAACCCAATATTTCATGGAAAATTCATCAAAGGTGCAATTTTCATTAGTTAGCCTAACTTACAAAGCACCAAACTTAAGGTTATATTTGATACATATTATCTTTTGACCATCAGAAAGTCTGTTATTACCAGGTTCTGAAAGTCTGCTCAACAGTAGAGATCCAAACGGAAGTATATGGGCCAACATAACACAAAATCAAGCCCTGCTTCTCTATAGATGAACATAAATCAACCCCAACACATATGAAATTCATTAGAAGAGCAAAAACATTATTCTCAATAGATACTATAGTTAAGTGCCATAACCTACCAAGGTACAGTGAAGTCTCAGTTAAAGAACAGAACACAACTGGGGCTTATAAAATCAAAAAATATAAGTATCGATCCAAATTCAGTAAAAAGACATCATTTTTCAAAATATATGCAAATTCTAGGAGTAGGGGGAGAAAGAGAAATCCAGGCATGCGTGCATATAGGCATATTTTCAGCATATAATAGAAAATTTTCAGCAAAATCTAATGAATAGACAATTGCAGAAATTTTGAAGTTCACAGAACTTCAAATTGTATACATTTCAAGTAAAGCTTAATTAAAGTTTTGGGGCAGAGGAGGGGTCAAAGCATGGGAGTAGGAAAACAAACAAGAAAACAAAGAAGCAGTGAGCTGAGGACGAAAGTTATGAAACATATGTTATCTGAAGCCCTGGAGCCTTACCATAAAAGAACTGTGAGTCTAGCTGCACTCTTTTACAACAATGACACGCACCAACATCGTTGCCCAAAAAATTATAGATAAATACACAAGGAAAGAAAAGATATTTGTATGAAACACGAAAAAATTAAAGCCGTGGGGAGGAAAAGAAAGAAAATATATCAAAGCTTAATGCAATAAACTAAATTCAAAATTAAACACAGAGCAGAAACGAAAGGAAACTAAAGAATAAGAAATGATCTGGACTCATCAAATCTCAACATAATAGCATAATCATAAATATAAAATAAATAAAGCAAGGGAAAAGGTGTACATCTCCAGCAAAACAAAACTGCAATCCAGAACAAGGCTCCACGTACATAAAATGATCAGATCCAAAATATCCAAATCAAGCTTTCAAATCATAATAAATTGAAAAAAATTACCCGATGCTCAGCAGATCGATTGGAAAACTGAACAGCTCTACCTTTGACCCATTTCAACTTAGTATTCAAATCAACGAAGCGAATTGAGGAACTAGTTCGGCTAGAGAGAGAACTCTTTGGTGGCTGGCTGCAATTCTAGAGACAGAAAAGGGTCGATGTCGGGTTACAGTGACAGATATAGAGAATTCTCATTCAAGCGCTGACGTGGCAGATTAATATTCGCCCGACAGACTCTAATTTTAATTTTTAGGCGTGTCGGGTAAATTTTATCCACAGTCACTGAACTTTTAGCCAAATCTTAGTTCAGTCACTACACTTTAGTGTATCACTATTAAATCACTAAATTTAAATTTAATTTCAATTTTAGGAGATAATCTTCCATCAACTATCATTCACTAAATTGATGAAAGTGCCTAACTAACCTCTATATTGTTATTGATGTTCTATGTAATGGTTATGCTGTAACCTGAAAACAAAATTGAAGTTTCAATCAATGTCTTTCGATTAACAGTTAAGCCTTCGTTTGGTGGGATTAGGATTTAATTTTTTACAAATTGAAAAGTTATGAATCTCATAAAATATGTTGTTGAAATTAATTGTTAACTTTGACTTAAATTAAAATTAAAATTTTAATTTTAATTTTAATTTCTACCAGTGATCCAATCGAAATTAGATTGATATTTAATGACCTGATTGAAATATTTATGAAAGGACAGTGGTCACAGATGAAATTTACCCGCGTGTGTTTTGATTTTGAAAATTAGTCAGTCAGTCGGCGCCGTTTCATGCATTGTCGCGAAGTGTGGTCGTGGGTTTCGTTTCGGAAAGTGTAATTAGGGCAGAAAATCAAATGGGCTCTCCAATGGGGGCCATAATTATGTCTGTATGGGCTGGCCCATATTTATTTTCTAAAAATTGATGTGAAAATTACATGTCTTAGAATACTTTCAAAAAACTCTATTTTTAAAGAGAATATTTTATAATTTAGTGAAATTTATAAATTTAGAGAATAAGAATTTTAAGTACTCCAACATGTTTTTTAATTTAGCACTTAATTTTACTACTCTTAAAAAATATTTAGCCATTGTTTGATTCCCTTTTTTTTTTCAAAATACATTACGCAAATTCAAAACTTTTTTTATTTTTTAACCACACATTCTATATTAATCTACTATTTCAAAATACATTTTTCAATTTTAATGGGCTCAAACAGGTTGTTTTTTCATATTTTTTATTTCACTAACTTCCTTCCAAAATACTATAGTATACTATGAATGCGTTTAATTATAGATGGTGATTTTGGAAAGCCTATGAATGACTAACCAAGAGAGGCTTTATTGGTTTTTAAAACTTTTTCGAAAATTAATTCTAGATTTAAATCGATATGACAGCAAATGAAACAATTAAACAAATATGCATAAATACGAAAGTAAGTAAAGACTAAAAAAATAAATTCAAATAATAAGGGTAATATAAAAGCAATAAGTAAAGGGAGAGATGATGCAAACAATATAATTGTGGAGGCTCGATCCAAAAACAATGATCCATGTCCTCCGTTATCAAGATCATCGACATGAGCAAAGCCTTTTCACTAAGTTGATTGACTTATGATGCAATTCAACCCTTTACAACGCTTTCGATGACTTATAAACAAGGAGTATTGATCCTTATACAATGTTGAGCTTTACAAGATCTCAACACGACCCGTACTATTGAGCTTTACGAGATCTCAATATGACACACACGGTAACTTACAACAAGGACTACTAATCCTTATGCAGTGTTGATCTTTATGGGACTCTAACACGATCCACATTTTATCAGAGTAATTTTACAGTGAAATTCTCTCTTGATAAATAATACAAAACTAATTAAGTACTAAAAGAGGCTAACACTTCAATGAATAGTATTACATGATAGCTCAAGTGTTGGATGAAAAACATTGATGAATGAGATAATTAAATATTTGATTCAATAGATCAAAATTTTTCAAAAAAAATATGAAAAAGAAATAAATGCAATGTTAGTTTAAGAATTTTCTCAAAATATCTCTCTTTTAATTAATAATGACAAGAAATTAAAAACCAAAAGAGAGATGTGGAATTTTGATAAATTTTATGATTTTACAATTTTGATTTAATAAATTAAAGTTTTGATGTATAGAAGTGGAAGAAATGATATAGTGTAAGTTCAAAACTTTTCTTCAAAATATATCTCTCTTCTATATATGATTGATCTAGGTTAAGTACAAAAAAAGAGATGAAAAACTTTGATGATGATGATGATTAAGGAGTTTGAATCAATCAAATTTTTTTATATGAAGAAATAAATGAAATGAATGTAAATGAAAACTCAAAGAATTCTCAAAACAAAAATATCTCACTTTGATGCTCTTGAAAATCTTATGAAAAATGGAAAGAGCGAAGATATTTATAGAATTCAAAAATTTTTAAAAAAAATCTATAAGTTCGGAAGATATGTCTAGTCGACCTCCTTTTATCCCGATGACCAATATAACCGTTTATACAGTAAAAATCAGAGGTCAGAACGGTCAAATTTTGGATCGTTGGAGGGGGTTCGATCGACCGCCTCTCTGGGTGATAATTGCCCCTCTGGGCGGTTGATCGCGCCCAGTAGTGTGGTCTTTTTACTTTTTGGCCTCGTTGTTCCAATTTGAGGATTTTGAGATGCATGGATTTTTGGAAAGTATTTATAACTAACTTTTTAAGATAAAAAAATGTTTTTTTAAGTCCAAATATCATTTTTAAAAATTATTTTTATATTTGATCAAAACATTGCATTGGAATAACTTTTAATGCGCAAACATTATTTTTAATGAATGGAAGAATTTTGAGTTTAAACATTCATTGTCAAATATCAAACTATTAGTACCTTTACATTTTATTTAAAAAAATCAAGTCTTTGCTCTGAAATATGCCTTTTAGACTTCTCATTTTGATCTTTCTTTGTTGTCTTCTCTCATGCTCTTGATCTCTATCTTTCTTGGCATTTATCTTTTAAGCTCTCATTTCAAATGATTTGACTTGAATTCTTAACTTCCACTTTGATATTCATTTTAAGTCCAATATATAATGTTTGGTTGATTTTTACATTGAACTATCATTACTCAAAATAAATTATTAGAAACAAGATTAATCTTGTTTGTTATGATCAAAACACCGAGAATGAAGTCGACCATATATCAACAACTTTTACCATTTTGATTATGACAAACAAGATGACTTGCAAGGTAGGATTGAACATTTTATATCAAAGGAAAATACATTATGAATTTATCATGTAAGTCATGTTCCCCATATGACAAAAACTTGTTAAATCATCATATTCATCAAAGTTTATCATCTAATATTGGAGCTATCATTTATTGCTATTCATTAGAATGTTAGCTTCCCCTTAGTACTTAATTTATATGTACAATTTATTAATAGAGAAGCATTCATTGCAGTGACGGACCCACATGGGGTCATGAAGCAAAAAAAATTTGGTTTTCCCCTTTTTTCATTTTTCAGAAAATAGTGTTTGGACCAGTTTACGACCTACTTTGACACACTCATTGTGGGATGCCAAATGAATTTGAAACATTGCATTCTTAATGCCATTTCGAAGTATTCATGGTCTAGTTTTTCACTTTTTAATAGCGTGAGAAATGATCAACCATAGCAAAAAATTGCAACGCATCAAATAGACCGTTCCAAACTAGTATTTTGAAAATTTCTATAATATGCTAACTTTCAAAATTTGTCTATGATTGTAAACTATCTAAATCCACTAATTTCTTGCGTCACCTAGAAACTCGTTTCGAGAACGTCGTAGTCATATTGAATGGTCCAAAAGGATATCGAAACTAGTTAAATATGTGTCAAACGTACGTCTTAAAAAAGACGTCTAACTTGTCTTTTCTTTAAAAAAATTCGATTATTTCATTACCATATATTATTTTTACACGATAAATTTTTCAATACAATTTACATCATTTTATTAGGAAATTTTACATGGCATATGACGTCAAAAATTTTAGGATCGTAACAATGTAATTTGAATTATTTTGCATTAAGTTTAAATTTCATTCATTTCATATATTAAATGTGAATTTTATTTCAATTTATTTACTTCCTATATTCAATTTAATTGACTCACCGTCAGCTCAATATCTATCAATGGAATGGTAAACAAAACTATACAAGTCGCAAAATTCATTTAATAATATTGATAATAATATAATTATTTTCATTAATATTATTTTTTAAAAATTACACTTTAAATTTTGATCCCACAACACAAAAAGTCTGGGTCCGCCCCTGATTCATTGCAAAATCATTTTCTTTAAACTCGTGATCATATTGAGCTCCCTTGATAGCTTAATAGTATAAGATTGATACACCTTATTGTAAGTTACCGTATGGGCCATATTGAGGTTTATTGAAAGCTCAATATCATAAAAGGATCGATATTCCTTGTTTATAAGTCACCGAAAGTATTGGAAGGTTTTGAGTTATACCTTAAGTAAATCAATACAGTAAAAAGACATTACTCATAACAGAGAACTTGATAACGAAGTACGTAGATCATTAGTTTTGATCAAACTTCCACAGTTACATCATTTGCATCCCCGCTTTCCTTTTGCTTATCTTATTTGCTCATGACTATTACTTAATTGATCAACCTATTTGTGATTTACTTAGTTTTTGAAACAGTTTTTTAAGAAATCGGTTCACTCCCTCTTGGTTAGTCATTTTGGGCTATCATTTCTATCACAATTATAAACATGTTCATGTATTCCATAGCTGCATCCATATATATATATATATATAGGATGTAACACTTACAAGTACAATTTTCTTCTGTAATAGCTAGCTGCATAAAAGAAAACAAATATTAATATATGCATACATAATTTATATATTTCACTAATTCACCCCCACTTAAGCTCCATTTTTTCCTATTCTTTCCCATTTTTTCCCATAGTACTCATTTTTAACCACACATTCTTCATTAAAATAATATTACACACAAATAATTTTTTTTGGATAATTAGCACAAAAGGTTTCTATATTTCAATGTTATTGTGCAAAATATACATACCTTTTGTTTTTGACATTTTCACCCCTACCTTTCATTGTGAAAAATGTCAT